CACAAGTTAGAATGATATATTTTGAGATACCATGCTTCATTGGGTTATCCTCCAATTAATGCGTTTGGAAAAAATAAATCCTACTATACAATCTAGGAAGCAGTAGAAAGTACTACTATGTCCTCAGGGTGGGCTAAGTTTTGAAGCAGTAATAAAAACCACCTCTTAAAAAATTAAAAAAAAAATGAAAAAAAAAACCACCTCAAACTTTTAGAGGCTTACAGCTTAAGGCTTATTTCTCACTCATAAGTCCCTCATAGTTGGTGGAACTCTGCTTCATGTCTCTTCACTTGAAGACTCAGGTCGATATAGTTTCCACTATCAAGAACATACTTGGTTGCTTGGGCTGGTAGGAAAAATGTGGTGAATTACACACTAGCTCTTAAAGCAGCCACACAAACTGATATCCTTTGCTTTTGCTCGTAAGTGACTGCTAATATTTTAGCTTTCATTTCATTGGCCAAAGCAAGTCACATGATCACGTCAAAGGTTAATGATCGGGGTGAAGAGGTACAATATTACCAGGTGTCCAGAAGGGAGAGAGCCAGAAATATTTGGCAAACAGCACTAATGTTTGCCAATGACTACCACAACTGCATTATCCTTTTATATTTTTGTCAGTAAAAGTAGAAATGAATTTTGATACTGACATTGGGAAGGGGAAACCCGATGCCGAGTTTTCCCCTATTCCTTTCCAATGTACGATAAAATCTCCTTAGAACAAATAGTAAAATGGCCTTCGTGGATGCTAAAATAGTGCCTCTCCTCCCAGGGGAGAGGTCAGTGGACTGTCACTGTGTGCTCCTGGCATTGGGAGAAAACAGAACCCTCTGGAAGAGAGCAGAACCCTCGCCACCTCAGGCTGTCCCCGGAGCTGTCTCAGCTCAGTGCTGGGCTGAACAGCGTCAGTATCTGAAGAAGCCCTAATAATCTCTTGTCTCCAGCCTGGTTTCCATCCAAAGACTTGTATGACTGACCTCATGATGTACATCTTTCTTTCCCCAAATCACTATCAGAGGTCCAAGCATCCCCAGTCATCATCACAGAGATGTTCATCTCCATTCTGCTCTGAAATCCCTCATCTTCTTCCATCCTCTGGAGTTTACAGTGTGTACCAGCCAACTCCCTGCAGGCATCCTACTACTCCTTCCCAGGAAATGTACTTTGCCTCTTTCTGAGAGACCTATTTTATATCCCTTTTCTTTTCAAACATCTCTCATATTTCATAGCAAAATTAGGTGAAGTCAGATAAGAAACTGCCTCATCTCCTCACCACCTAATCCATTCACACCTACCTGCCTCTATAGCTACACATCCCACCTTCGCTCTTGTTAAAATGGATTATTTCTCCATCAATTTATTGTTAACCGCCCCCCCCAGTGCCCTGAATCTCAATTCCTTTTTCCTTCTCGAGAACATTCTTTTGTAATTACCCATTTTCTTTCCTATATTGTGCATTTCTCTACCAGATCATCCAGCAAGCAAGCATGCCTTTATGGCATTCATTAAAGAAGATTCCCTTGATACCATGCTTCATTCTGGTTATTGCTCACTTCCTTCTTCCCTTAACAGTAAAGCTTCTTGGAAGAAATTTGTATAATTGCAGTTTTACATCCCATTCTCCAATAAACTTACTTGAATCATGCTTTTATTTTCATCATGCCACTGAAATGATTTTTACTGGATCAAATGCTAAGAATAGCTAACACAGAGGGCCTACTATGAGGCAGGCAGTGCTCTAAATACTTTATACCCATTAACTCATTTCATCCTCAAACCAACCCTATAAAGATGGTACTATTAATATCCTAAATAATTTGCCCAAGGTCACACAGCTATTAGGGGGAGCTCAGATTTGAACCCAGCTACTCTGGTTTTAAAGGCTATGCTCTTAATTAGTACATGATCTTACTTTTTTAAGGGACAGTGATTTCTCTTGGTTTATTGAACCTTTCAGCAGCACTCACCACAGCTGATCGATCCCCTTCTTCTTGAAACATTTTGTTCTTTGGTTTTCCATGCTTTTATTCCATGTTCTTTTTATCTTACCTCATGTGCTGCTCCTTGCCAGTCTCTATTACTGGCTTCCCCCATTTCAGATGGAGGTTCTGGACCATTCGTTCCCTTCTTCTCTATTGGCAGCCTTTCCATGGTAATGTGGTTTGGTCTGTGGTTTTAAATATCACCTATCAGCCTGGATTTCTTAAGTGTGTATCTGCAGCCCAAATCTCTTCCCTAAGCTCCACTTCATAAATGTCGCTGCCTGATTTACATTGCTACCTGGGTACCTTGTAATAGTCTCAGATTTAACACTGACAACAAGAACTACAGATAGTTTAACCCAACCGAGCTTCTGCCAAACTCCCCATTCCCAGGCCTTCTCTATCTGCCAGAACCACCACCACCACCACCACCACCACCACACACACACACACACACACACACACACACACACACACACACACAC